GTAAAGGGGGGGGGGGGGGGGGGGTGTAACCAGCTGAAAGAAGAGTGTTCATCTTTTTTATGAAGTTGTTATCCAAGTTTCCATGATCTTTTAAGCTTGTTTTCAGACTTTGCTAAGATGGTCTCCTGGTTATTATTTTGTTCTTGTTTTTTTTTTGTGTTTGACTTGTCACTGAGGGACTCCAATTTTCAGCTACTTATCTTCATCTCCTGCTTTTTTAACAGTGGGATGCTGGAAATGATGAATTCCCTGTTCCTCCCCCAGAATACAATCCACTTGATGAGCCAAGTCCTTTAGGTCTGAGATTGAGAAAGAGTCCATCTTTGTTAGATTTAATCACGATGAGGCTTTCACAAAACAGTGGTTCCTCCATTGCACCTGAAAACCCTACTTCTGTAAGCAATACGGGAACAAAGGGTGCTTCCACTTCAGTAGCAACTGACAAGCTGAAGGCGTCAAATTTTTCGGGATCACTTCTAAGGATAGGGTCTTGGGAAGTAATTGCCTTGAACTTTGTGCCTTGTTAGTAGATTATCTGTGAATAATTTTCTTTTGGCTAATTTTTCTATTTCGTTTTAGTATGCATCTAGATATGAAGGTGATTTGGTGGCAAAGTGTTACTTTGCTAAGCATAAGCTTGTTTGGGAAATTCTTGAAGGTGGGCTCAAGAGTAAAATTGAGATTCAATGGTCAGATATCATGGGGCTGAAGGCGAGCTGTCCAGAGGATGGTCCAGGCAGTTTGACTCTTGTGGTAAGGCATAAGTTTCCAACCTATTTTTTTTAATGACAGTGGTGTCCAGGGCCAGCTCGGGTGCACCTCGACTAAATCTACAGGAATCTACTAACTCCTACCAGCACAATTATTGGACAACTCTGCCCCAAACCTTTGGGCATATGGGAAGCAATCACCTAGTGTTTTTTGTCTCCTCGGGGATTTGAAAGGACCTCATGACTTCCCCACTTCATTGACCACTAGGCCATGCTTTTGGGGGCTCTCTCTAAACTAATTTCTTAAGTGCCTTAGTATAAGTTTTTTTTTATTAGCAGCACCAAACAGATAGGTATAAGGTCAAATCTCACCATATTGAATACTTCTTTTTCCTACGTAAAAAGTTATTGATGAAGTCCTATAAAAGGACCTCCCAAAGCAAAAATACTTCATCCTGTGAATTGAAACATCGTAAATGTTTGAAAGAACAATTATACTGGTACTCTAGTTTTACTGGCACTATAGTTCTTCTTTTGTTTTGTAAGAAATTGTAGTGTTATCTTCAGTTTGTAGTTTATGGTTTTCTGTGATTCAGTTGGCTCGCCAGCCCCTTTTCTTCAAGGAGACAAATCCACAACCCAGAAAACATACTCTATGGCAAGCGACTTCAGATTTCACTGGTGGACAGGCTAGCTTGAACAGGTAAATAATCTTTACTTCTGTTAAGAAACGACCAATGATATTTTGTATTATCTCGACTGTAGGATACTTATTTAGTCCCTAAATAAATGTTGTTTTATTCACATGCTGGGTACATGTGTACTAACCACCTTCAAGATTATTTATCCAAGGAAAAAAAAAAGTTTCCCAAGGATGAAACAACTCCCTCTATCAGAAGGTGCAGGTATAATAAAATGAGCAAGTTATGAAAAACAGTAGGTATGATGGAGTAATACAAGGGGAAAATAGGACAATTAATGTTATTTATATATGAGTAAATATAAGTATGGCTTGAGTGGTGCACTGCACTTTTTTTATAATTGTGGTATGCGGGCTAGCTTGTGCGCACCTTGATTAATAGTTCTACCTCCCTTCTACAAGGGTTTAGACAAATGTGAAGAAATCACTTAGTGTTTTTGTCTCCACTAGGATTTGAAAAAAATATTGTGCAATGCATTGTCTTGAGAAACTATTTCAACCGTGTGAATTTTCCAGGATTAAACATGCCTTTTTCTACTAGAGGAGCAGGAACGATAAACTTTAAATAACAAACTCAACAAGTTATGGAAGAGAGTTGGTGTGACGGAGTGATAATTAGACTTAACTTCTGGCACTGAAATGGCGAGTACATGATAGGGTATTTGTAGGTGTAGAGATTGTGGTCATCGAGGATGTGACAAGTATCCTATGACTAATGACTGATCCCCAAAACATTACATTTGCGACATTTTCGACAAAAGTTGAGGATATTTGTCAAAATCAAGACAAGTTTCCAATGACTAATCCGCAAGCTAACATTTTTCTTTGAGATAAATTCACAAGCTAACATTCTTTTGACATTTGTCCAATGACTAATTTTTTGAAATATCCTATCTTACTAACACAAAATGTGATTGGTGAAATCGCTGACTTACAATTTGATATACTTCATCAATTATTTTGTGTGTCGTATTTTATCGGTGTAAGTGTGGCTCATAGTCCAACAAGACACCAAACTGATTGCATTTGGACTATGCAAATCCAACAAGTTCTTATGTTCAAAAAATTCTTCCTAACTCAAGCTATACTTGTATTTCTTCATAAATAAAGAACACACTGCTCTGTTTTCCTCTTGTTTTTCCAACAATTAGAGAAACTATTCAACAATGCGAAATACTCCTTTTTATTGTTCTGTTAGTTGTAACTATGCTCCTTGATCACTTTGCATCTCTTTGATGCTTTTTAAAGAAACATACTTCACTTCATCAAAAAAATCAAAAAAAATAATGAAACATACTACTACTTCATTAAAAAAAATGTGAAAGTTTCTCCAAGATTAAACAAGTCTCCTTCTATTATGGGAGAAGGAAGAACAAAATTTAATAACATTAGGCATTATGGAGTGATAACTAGACTAAGAGCTCATTTGGATTAGCTGATTTAAAGTATCCAATAACCTTAAGTGTTGAAAATCACTTTTTGGTGTTGAAACTGATTTTGTAAATAAGCAGTTACGTGTTTGAGTTGAAGTGTTGAAACTGATAATTAGTCGTTGATATATTTGGTAAAAGAAGTGTGATATAATATTTTTTGGGTTAAAATGGCAAATACTCCCTAAGTCCCAAATTTATGTCTCCCTTTCCTTTTTAGTTAGTTTAAAATGAATTTTTCTCTATTTAATAACAAGTTAACTTTAGAACACCGATCTTACCCTCTATGAGATGATTTAGAGCGAGACTAATATCTATGACTTATTTTAGACCACAAATTTCAATAGTCTTCTAGTGTTGTAACTTTATACCCAGACAAACATCATCACATAAATTGGGATGGACGGATGGACGGAGTATGTCCTTAACATTATTTACAAAAAATTTAAACTAAAAAAGTATCAATTGAATGAAGAGGGAGTTGTGAGTTAAAATTCTTAGAAGAAAATTTTGAGTATTAGGTATTAGATAGTAAAATACTTGGTCTAATTGAAAGTGCTTATAAGCTGAAAAGCAACAAGTTAGGGGTCATCAACTTATGAATTTTGGCTCCTAAGCACTTGAATGTTTACCAATATATCGAGGAACCAGATCAGCAATGGAGTGTGATTCCCACCTTAAAAATGCACCAAATATTGAATAACTGAATCACCTTATGTATTCCATAGTTCAGTAGTTTAGCTTCTAATGCTGTTGGTGAATAATACCTCTTTTGATCGGTATAGGCAACACTTTCTACAGTGTCCACTCGGTGTCTTGAATAAGCATTATGAAAAATTGATCCAATGTGATGTGCGGCTCAATTCTCTGAGCAAACAGCCTGAATTGGCCTTGGAATCTCCATATTTTGATACAAAAGCTACTCTGTTTGAAAATCTTGACGAATTGAACGACCATGGCTTAGATCCAGTCGGTTCTGGTAAGGGTTCCCCACTATCAAGCATCCAAGATGCAGCATCACCTGCTGCGGCACAGTCATCTTCGGTGTCTTTTGAACAACCTGATCTCCTTGGTACAGCCCATGAACATTTGTCTAGAGATACCCCTTCTCCAAGCTCAGGTAAGTAGTTCTTCCTGTCTGCTCTTAATATTCCGTGCGTAGATTGTCTATTCTAAGCTCTACAACCTTGATAGGCATCATTCTGTGGAAAATGTACAGCAATCGAGAAAAAGTGTGGGAAAAGAATGCTAAAGCTAACAAAAAGGGATTTTATATTAGTGGTTGTGTGCTGCATTTGTCAGAATCATGCTTGAAGTGTCGTTACTATAATTTAAGCTTTGTGCAATACACATCTACAATTGCCTCTTAATCTGGTAGATATGTTCTTTATACTGGCTATTTTACATGCATACATTCGATAATTAGTTGTGTGCTTGGGATTTCATAACTCTTTTCCTCCACCCCTACCATGTTTAGTGCCATCATTCCATTTCCATCTTCAGCCCGCCCCTTTTTTCTCAACTCTTCGCTATGTAGTTTTCTTCGTGGACTATTTGTGCCATCTTCTTTTCCTCTGTTTATATTTGTCTAATTTCTGCTCCTGAGGTGAGAGATGAGCAAGATAATCTGTTGTCTTTAAACATGGATATTAATTTATCCTTCTGATTGAATATTGGGTTTTGATATCTTTGGTGAGATTCCACTTTCATCTTTAAGTTCATGAATTGTATGGTTATGTTTAAAACTTCTTTGTCATTCCTACAATTTGCAGTGTCTGGGTCAGGATTGATCGTATAGTTCAGACTTCAGTAATTGGACTATCAAATAAAATAAGATAGGGGACAATCCATGTGCCTTTTCCAATTTGTTGATGTTGGCACTTCCCTACAATTTGTAGCTTCTCGGTCTGGATTGATCCAAAGTTTCATATCTTTTGCTAAACATAGGTTTAGAATTTAGATAATAAATGAAATAAGATAGCTAGCATTTCATGTTATGCCCTTTCCACATCTGTTGAAGTTGATGATGTTCAAATACTAAGTTTTTTGATACCGAGTTTGTATTTACACTTAACATCCAGTAGTAGATTACTTCTGTATGATGAAAGCCAAAGTTGTCACCGATTCTTTTCTTTTGATCTTCAGTGATGGATACACATGCTGTTGGGGACAATGCAAACAGCATAGGGTATGATTCTAACAGGATGCAAAACTTGGAGCAATTGAAGGTGCCAGGACTCCGGCCATCAATGTCTATGACTGATCTTGTTAGCCACATTGAAATCTGCATTTCACAACAGATTAATTCTGGAAGTTTGCAGTCTGATGAGGCCTTAGAATGCAAGGGCATGCTGGAGGACATTGCACAGATGTGGCTGAGCGACACTCAATGTACACCAGCTTCAGACGAGAAATCTCTCATGAAGAAAGTGAACTCTCTGTGCTGCCTCTTGCAGGATCCTATTGCGTCTCACGAGCCCCATTTAAATGGAGAAAATCATCTGCAAAAACCTGTTCAATCTACCGATGCTTGTAGCTCTTCTGCATGTGAGAACGACAGAAATAACGAAGAGAACGCCAAGGATTTTGTTGGTGGTAAACTGACACCAAGTATTCCAAGGATAGACTCCTTTGGCGACTTGCTCCTTCATCTTCCTCGTATTGCATCCCTTCCAAAGTTCCTATTCAACATTGTTGAAGATGATGAAAACCAATCCAGATAGCCGTTCTTTTCTTGAGAATGTACTGAAGTTCTAGGCTATAGTCCCCAGGAAAACCATTTGGGTTTTGCCTGTTTGTTGTGGTCCTGTTGCAAGCACACCTCGGGATTCGGAAGACGTTATACATGGAGAAAAACTGGGATTTGAAGATTCTTTGATAATTGGTGAAATTTCTGTCTGTAGAACTATGTAGTAGTAAGATTAATGTTTTTCACCTCTGGCTGAAGAGCATAACATTATATTGTTTGTACAGGGGTTAGGTCAATCAATGTCATTGTCCCAATTCAAGTTAAGTTCCCATTGGGATTATTGTTCCTAAAAGTTTTAATTAGTTGAATTTGATTTCTTTACTTTGAGATTGATTAGATTTACAACACCTTGGATTAGTCGATTAAAAGTAATTGATGAGTTAAGTGTTTAAAAATATTTTTTTCGAGTGTTGAACTTGATTTTGTAGATACACTATTCTATGTTTGAACATAAGTGTTGAAACTGATAATAAGTATTTTAAGTTTTAACGTAACAAATAAATTTAGTGATGCATAGTTTGGTTCATATAATCTAACTATGTTTATTTCCATCATACTAATTAGACAAGTCAATTTCGCGATGAAACACAAATTTATTGTTATAACACAATTTGATGAATTTTGTTTGGCGTGTGTTTGTTCATGTATGTTTCGAAATATGTGTGATCGAAGTTCATAATTTGTTTTGGAATATATGTGATCGACTCTGTTTGAACTAAAATTTTATGGATCTATTGGTGATGACATATTAAAGGCAAAAGTATTCATTACCCCCCTGAACTTGAAGTTTTTTATTCGGTGTACACCTAAATTATATTCCGTTTTAATTACCCCGAACTTGTTTATTCCTCCATCACGTACACCTTTTTCGTCCACCTGCTCCTATTGTGACTACACGCGCGCGACAACTGGCAAAAGTGGTGATGTGGATTTCCACCTGGATAAATAATAGCCACCTAGATAAATTAATATTGCAAAAAATAAATTTCTTAAATTTAAAATTCATTGTTTAAAAGTTATTTTTGAATAAGGGCTGATTTCCGGAACTCCTTCTGGATTTGGGTTTTTCTAGACGTGAAGTTGGTCGATTAAATTTCAAATTTGTCTGAAATTCTTACCAAGTAAGTGTTAATCTTTGTTTCTTTTACTTTTCATTTACATTTTCCCCTATTTTACGTTTAAAATATGCCAAATATGAAAGAAAAATGGAGATTTTACGTTTTTTTACCATTGTAACTTTATGATGTGGCAAAAAATCACTTCCTCACGCGCTTAGTAGAGTGTGTTGTCAATTTCTACGCCAGATGGACAATAAAGGTGTACGCGACGGAGGAATAAACAAGTTCGGGGGTAATTAAAACAAAATTTAGTTTAGGTGTACACCGAATAAAAAGCTTCAAGTTCATAGGGGTAATGAATACTTTAACCCATATAAAATGATAATTCATTATTTTTGAAAAACATACATCACTTTTATAGAATTTATATTTCAAAAAACAAGAATTCGTTATTATCTAGGTTTTTTGTGTGTAGTCTATGATTTATTCAAAATATGTGTGATCGATTTTGTTTGAGCTCAAATTTTATGAGTCCATTGGTGATGACCTATTAAATAATACTTGTTATTTTTGGGAGGTGTATACCACTTTTTATAGTTTATGTATCACGAAACTGAAATTCAAGATCACCTACGATTTTCTTATGTATTAGTCCATGATTTTTTCAAAATATGTGTGATCAACTTCTTTTGAACTTAAGTTTTGTGGGTCATTGATGGCTACCAATTAAATGATACTCATTATTTTCAAAATGCAAGCAACGCTTTCTTTTTGGAGTTTATGTGTTGAATAAGTATTAAGGATTAGTCCATGAAATTTTTGGAATATGTGTGACCGATTCATTTTGTGATTAAATTTTTTGGGTCTATAGATGACAACTAATAAAATAATAGTCAATGTATTTGTTCGTCACTTTTTTGTATTATGTATCACACAACAAAAAATTAGGATAATCTAGAATTTTCATTTGTATTAGTCCATGATTTGTCTATAATATGTGTGATCAATTTCGTTTGAGCTCAAATTTTGTGGGATCATTGACGACGATCTATTAAATGATACTCATTATTTTCTAAAGGAGGGCGTCACTTTTTCTTTTTTGTAAGTAAAGATGTAATATAATAGATTTAAAATTATCTCAATTTTTCGTGTGTATTAGTACATGATTTTTTTGAATTACGTAGCCGACTCTGTTGAGCTCAAATTTAGTTGGTCCATTGGTGACAACCTATTAAATGATATTTATTATTTTCTATAGGCAAACACTATTTTTTTTTGGATTTTATGTGTTATGAAACATGAGTTCAAGATTATCTCAATTTTTCATGTGTATATTAGTCCATGATTTTTTGAAATATGTATAACCAATTTCATTTGAGGTCAAATTTTATAGGCCCATTGACGATGACATATTAAATGATACTTATTGTTTTTGAAAGGTGTATATTATTATTATTTTTGGAGTTTATGTTCCCGAAGTAAAAAATTATGATTATCTCAATTTTTTGTGTATATTAGTCTATGAATTTTTTGAAATATGTGTGACCGCCATCATTTGAGCTAAAATTTTATGGGCCTTTGGTGACGACCTATTAAATGATACTCATTGTTTTTAAAAGACGTACGTATCGACAACCTATTTTGGAGTTTATGTATCATGAAATAGGAATTCAGAATTATCTCATTTTTTTGTGTTATTAGTCCATAATTTTTCTAGAATATGTGACGACGCCGTTTGAGCTAAATTTTATTGGTCCTTTGATTTCTACCTTTTAAATGGTGCTCATTATTTTCGAAAGATTGATGTTTCTTTTTTGGTATTTATCTATCACAAAATAGGAGCCCACGATTATCTCAATTTTCATGTGTGTTAAATTCGTTTGAGCTTAAATTTTGTGGGCTCTTTGAGAATGACCTATTAAATGATTCTCATTATTTTCGAAAGGCGAAAGTCACTTTTTTGAAGTTAATGTGTTACGAGATAGGAGTTTAAGATTATCTCAACATTTCATGTGTGTTAGTCCATGAACTTTCCAAATTATGTGTGACTCCATTTGAGCTCAAATTTGTGGGTCCATTGATAAAAACCTATTAAATGATACATATTAATTACGAAATTTGGAGTTTATATGTCAGGAAATAGGAATTTACGATTATTTTAATTTTTTGTGTGTATTAGTTCATGCACTTTTTGGAATATGTATGACCGATCCTATATGTACTCCAATTTTGTGGGTCCAATGGTGACAACCCATTAAATAATACTCATTATTTTTGAATGGTGTAAGTCAATCTTTTAGGAGTTTGTGTCACGAAATAGAAATTCACGATAATTTGAATTTTTCGTGTGTATAAATTCATGAATTATTAGTAATACGTACAACTGACTCTGTTTAAGCTCAAATTTTATGAATTCATTGATGACAACCTATTAAAATGATACACATTATTTTTGAAAGACGTGTCGCTGTTTATGGAGTTTATGTTTCACGAAATAGAAATTTAGGATTATCTTAAATTTCCATCTAATTAAGTTCATGAATTTTCGGAATATGTGTGAATGACTTCAGTTGAGCTCAAATTGGGTCCATTGGTGACAAACTATTAAATGATACACATTATCTTCAAAAGGTTGTCGCCTTTTTTTAATTTATGAGTTGCAAAGTAGGAGTTCAGGATTAACTTAATTTTTCATGTGTATTAGTAGAAATTATGTGTGATCGGCTCCGCTAAAGATCAAATTGTTTTGGTCCATTGTTAATGACCTATTAAATGATACACACATTAGGTATAAACCACTTTTTTGAAGTTTATGAGTTACGATGCATGAATTCACAATTATCACAGTTTTTGTGTGTATAAGTCCATGAATTTTCAAAATATGTATGACCAACTTCGTTTAAGCTCAAATTTTGTGGGTCCACTAGTAACAATATATTAAATAATAATTATTGTTTTCAAAAGGCATACACTGTTTTTTAAGAATTTATGTTTCAAGATTAGAAATTCAGGATTATCTAGGGTTTTTGTGTGCATTGATCAGTCCATGAATTATTCAAAATATGTGTCACTGACTTTGCTTGAACTTAAATTTTATGGATCCATTGGCGAGAACTTATTAAATGACACTCATTATTTTCAAAAGGCAAACGTCGTTTATTTTGGAGTTTATGTGTCACGAAAGAGAAATTCTAAATTATCTTAATTTTCATGTATATTAGTCAATTAATTTTCTGAAATATGTGTGGTCGAGTCAATTTGAGCTCAAATTTTGTTGATCTATTTGTGACGACCTATTAAGGGCATCTCTAACCCTACACTCTATTTTACTCTTCAAATATAGAATTCTCTATTTTTTCAGACAACCAACTCCAATCCAATTCTCTATTTTACTCTCTAAAAAATAATCTTTTTCTCTCTTGTCAATTTTATATTATTATTTCTATTTCATTTTTGTTTTCTTATTTCATAATATAAATATTTTCTTTCTTTTTGCCAAACAATCATTGTATATAATTTCATGTAATATAAAATTTTGAATTTTTGAATTTTTTTATTTTATATTAAATTTATTTTATTCTAAATTTCTAAAGAACAACTATCAATAATTGCAAAAAGAAATCAACAAACACAACCGCAATCACAACCACAACTTCCCTAAATCATACACTAATTCCTTTTTCGAATATCGTTAAATCTAGAAACGACCTACCGGATTACTAAATTATTATTGTGATTATTAAAATTATTATGTTATGCATACTATTGTATTGTTATCTTGTATTTAAATTATTATGTTATGTATTATATTTTTAAATTAAATTTTTTATCTTATCATTTAAATTTTGTGCATTCTTCATGGTGAAAATTAATAATAACATCAAATTGTATCACAAAGTGGCGAAAATTAAAAAAAAAATTAAAATATTGTTAATTTGAGATGAAAGTAGTAGATATAAAATAAAATATTTTTGAAAATGTTATATTACATTTAAAAGGAATCACGAATATTAGAGATTTAATTAATAGAATTATATGAAAAATAATATGTTAATTACAAAATAGTAGAAATAATAATATAATATTCAAAAAGTGAATAGAGAGTATGAATAGTAGTTCTCCAAATTTGGAGAACTACTATTCAACTCTCTATAATTGGAGAGTGAGGGTAAAATAGAAATATTATTAATTCGGAATGAAAGTAGTATATATTAAATAATATATATTTTTTAAAAATATTATATTACATTTAAAAAGAATTACAAATATTAGAGA